AGCTTTATATCTCCGAGATGAAATGAGGGATGTAGTGAAGGATCCTTTCACAGTGCCTGGAGGCTGTGGATGTCTGGATGGAGAACAACAAACTTCAACTGAACCCTGGTAAGCAGAGTGGCTGTGACTGGGGACCCTCTATATCCAGGAGTTCATCATTTTTGGCATTGAATGGAGTTGCACTATCCATATGGTGGAGAAACCATATATTTATCATGAGTGTAATAACGCTTCTCTTTGAATTCCAACCTGGTTGGGTTGAAGCTTCCCTTCTGCACTGGGCAGGGGATAAAACCTACTGTGGAATGTCTGTCTTTGACATCAAAAGCTTCACCTAGGTGGAAAAAAACACCATATACGTGTCTAGACTAGAGAAAAAGCTTCCACAAAGCTACAAACAAGCAAGATACTTCTCAAGTGCCATGAAGGTAGAGAAAGCTTCATCCAGACTTCCTTGAGTGAAGACATTTTTTGAAAAACCAGTCTGGTGTAGTGGTTAAGGTTTTGGTCTAGAAATCGGGAGACAGGGAGTTCTAGTCCTGCCTCAGGCATGGAAAACTGGCTCGGTGACTTTGGGGCAGTCATTCTTTCTCAGCCTAACTCACCTCGTGAGAGTTTGATGTTGTAGGGAAAACAGGAGGAGGGAGGAATATTGGTATGTTTGCTGCCTTGAGTTGCATGTGGGGAAAAAGGCAGGATAAAATTCTAAAAAACAACAACAAAAAAAAAACAAACAGGAATTTCAGGAAAGGAAAGAAATGGAGGCAGAGTTATAAAAAAAAAGAGTTCTGTGTCTGAACTGGAAGGTTAATCAGTTCATCATTTCCTCATGCTGTCGTTTGTCACTTTTCGCTCACTGTGGCTTATGCCTCACTAGCTCCCATTAAAGAAGCTTCAAAAGAACAATGTCAACAGCTTACAAAGAAAATTTGTATAAGATGTTTTAACTCCCTCCCTCAAAACGATGCTATAGAGCACCGCATACCAGAACAACTAGACACAAGGACAGTTTTTTCCCAAACGCCATCACTCTGCTAAGCAAATAATTCCCTCAACACTGTTTCAACTATTTACAAAGTCTGCATTACTATTACTGTTAATCTTCTCATCACTCCTTATCACCCATCCCCTCCCACTTGTGACTGTATGACTGTAACTTTGTTGCTTGTATCCTTATGGTTTATATTGACTGTTTCCTAGTATGATTTGATTGCTTATTGTACCTTATGACTATCATTAAGTGTTGTACCTTATGATTCTTGACGAAGGTACCTTTTCTTTTTATGTACACTGAGAGCATATGCACCAAGACAAATTCCTTGTGTGCCCAATCACACTTGGCCAATAAAGAATTTTATTCTATTCTATTCTAAGATGTTTTACAGATGGCATCTCACCCCAGCAAGACTGGCAAAGATGTTTAAAGATAAATCAGCGAAATGTTGGAAATGTCACCAGACACCTGGAACATATTACCATATGTGGTGGACATGTACAGAAGCTAAAAGATATTGGACAAAAAGACATACATGGTTGGAAACGATGACAAAACAACATATAAATTTAAAACCTGAGATATTTTTATTGGGGATTTTACCCAAAAACTATTGTAAAGAAAAAACATATTTAATTATACATATATTAACAGCAGCTGGAATTGTATTTGCACAAAACTGGAAGAATGAAAAGATTCCGATAGAGGAAGAGGTGATTTTGAAAATATTGGAATGTGCAGAAATGAATAGATTAACATTGGCAATTAAAGAACAAGAAGAAGCGGAATATTATATGATAATGGGATTTATTTTATAAATGGTTGGAAAATAAAGTAAGAAATTAAATGATAATGTTATAATGATAAGATATATAAGATTGAGTAGGTTGTAATATGAATGTAATTTCAGTAAGAAATGTATACAAAATATAAACATTTGCACAAGATATATGTACCCAGTCGACACACTGTATAATTGAAAGATGGATTTGTTTAATATAAAAATAAAAAACATTTTGGAAAACAAAGAAGCTTCAAAAGAAATCAAAGATTTCTTCCAATGTCAGGAAAAGGCACCGCTGTTTAAAGAAGTTGCAGACACCCCTTTCCAGTCCTACCTCAATGTTCTGAAGTCCCTTTTGGCTTTCTAATCCCAAGCCCTATTAAGAGAACCAGCAACTTTTGGGAGCTACTAATAAATTACTAGCCTTAGTATCTGCAGCCCCTCCCTGCAGTGACTGATCTGCCCCCTTTAGCATGTTTCTCCCCTGCTGGTTGTAAAGCAGCAGCAACGAAATAATATGCTTCCTCCTGAGTAGAGGAACCTGCACCTCTTAGCAAGATGGTGCTCACACCTAGATAATTTGCCAAATTAAATTGCATCCCCCATTCTAAGCATCTTCCCACTATATTGCACTGCTTAAAGTCTCCAGAGAAGCCCGAGACTTTAAAAAGAAAAACCAGATTTTATAGGATATTTCCTTTGGAATCTTACATTTCTGTGACTTTTCTTTAAGAGTTTTCCCTTTAAGTTAATAGAGCACCTAGAAAAGGTTTTTCAAAAGACCCCACCCAAGGTAGAACACCTATATAACTGACCTTTCCCTAGGGAAGGGCCTCTTTCAGAAGAGCCTAGGTGGACACTCCAAGCAAGAAGCAGCAGCAGCAGCCGTGCTGGATTAAAGCAGTTTAAGGTGTTTTGTGAGGTGCCTGAGGTGATATGTGACTGTTATGTGAAACTGGGAATTGGGGGTGTGTGGCTTTTTTAAAGAGCTGTGTGGGGTTTGGGAACTGAACCTTAAAAATGGCTTTGTCTGTTTTCCCTGTAACTAGGTTTGAACATTCCTGAGGAATTGAGGTTTGCTTGCAATGATCCTATGTTTTCCTCTTCTTCAGGAAGGCACTGTTTCTTGTTTTTTTTTACTTCTCTTTTAAGGAGTGTTTTCTACAGACCTGGGAATGGTTGGCTCTACAGTTTATTCCACAGATAAGCGGGACTGTAGTCTAAACATCTGAGGATTGTTACACTAGGGGGAAATACTACTTTAAGAGGGCTTTGTTCTTTCAACCCAAAGCAGGTGCAATTTTGTGTTAATTACTGGTGTGCTCCAGAGGCCTCTGACTGCAGATTCTACAGGGATCTGGATAAGGGAACAGGTATCTTGCCAGGAGTAGATAATGCCAGTCTTAGGAATAGTTAGTCTGGAATTTTTTTTACTTGAAACTAGAGAAAATAAATTCAGTAAGAGAAGACAGCTGGCGCTAATTCTCTTTTCAGTGCAGGTTGAAGGCAGTTTATAGAAAAGTGTGCCTATAGCAGCTGCCTTTAGGTGAAGAGTTTGTTTTATTTATTTATTTTTCAAATAAACTTTTATTGTTTTCCACCAGTGCAAATCTTAGTTACCTTTTCAACAGCGTTTGCATCAGCATTTAGTGTTATCTTACATTTCCATTACCTATTTGTACATATCATTAATACATATTATCTTTATTTATATTGACTATTGTCCATCTTTAACCCTTTTATCTATCTATTTACATGTTATGTATCACTCTCTTGAGAATTCTCTTATATAGTCATCTTTTCTAATTATCTCTTTTCTAGCCACATGTACCATCTATGCCAAACTGAGTAGTAATCAGGTTCTTCTTTTTCTTTTATTTTTAGTGTGAGCATATCCATTTCTGCACAGTCTGCTATTTTTTGTAAAATTAATTCTTCTGTTGGGACCATATGCTCTTTCCACATTGTGCAGAGGCTATTCTGGCTGCTTACAGTATGTGTAGCATTAAATATTTGATCTTTTTCGGATATTTTTTTGAATTATCCCCAGTAGGTAGAGTTCCGGTTTGAATTCAATTTGATGTCCAGTGATTTCTTATATCTAATCTCAACTTTTAGTCCAATAAGTCCTGGCTTTGGGGCATAGCCACCACATGTGATAAAAGGTACCGTCAACTCATTGACATTTCGAACATTTTGGGCTAGTGTTTGGGTAAATCTTAGCTAGTCTTGCCAGGGTCAAATGCCATCGGTAAAACATTTTATATACATTTTCCTTATATGTTGAGGCCGTTGTTAATTTATAGTTTATATTCCATAGTTTTTCCCATTCTTCTAAATTTATATTGTAGCCAATATAAATATATTGTAGCCAATTTATATTGTAGCCAAAATTCCACGCCCATTCTATCATCATATTCTTAACTATTTCCTCTTCCATCTTAAAATCCATGGTAAAGAGTTTATTTATTAGTGGATAAAATTAATTTTGCATTTTCATAAAATTAGAATTGGAAGAGACACCAAGGATCATGTCTAGACAATCTCTGCAATATGCAAGAAGCCAATTAATCTTTTAGAGATGGCTAGTAGCCAGTCTCCTCTTGAAAGCCTACAGACATGCAAAACACACAACTGCCCTAGGTTGATTGTTCCACTCTTGTACAGATCATCTTACCACATCAAGTTTCTCCTTATATTTAAATTACATCTAGGTAGGTTCAACTTATAGCTCTTGTTTCTAGCTCCAGTTTCTGTGGCCATGAAAAATAGTTCTTAACCATTGTTCCTATAGCTTCATTTTATGTGCACTTGAACATGACTAGCTATCACATCTACTGTCCGTGTTTAGTTTTCAGACTGAACACTCTAGATTCTATCAAATGTCTTCAAAGTTCTGCACCATCTTTATTTACTTCCTCTGAACACCATTTAATTGTCAGCATTCTGTAAATGTTATCCAAATTGTACACAATAGTTGTATGTGATCTCACCACGCCATGTAGAGAGGAACAATGACATTACAAATCCTCATTTTAAGTGTGTGTGTGTGTGTGTGTATAGGAGGGGAGGGGGAGAGAAAGAAAGAAAAGAGAAAGAAAGAAAGAAAGAAAGAAAGAAAGAAAGAAAGAAAGAAAGAAAATAGCTCCAGATAGCTTTTTTGCTGTAGGTTGGTAGCTGAACTGCTTCTACACTTTGCCTCTTATTGATTTTCAGCTCCATATGGAGGTCCCAAGCAGCGAAGCAAGAGAATCCGGAAAGCGTAATGCTGGGACTATAGCAGGTGTCCTTCCCACGATCCAGCCATCCCCCAACAACTACCAGTGCCTTGAATGTGGGAAAAACTTTCGACGGAGCCTGAATTTGTTAACTCACCAGAGGGTCCACACGGGTGAGAGACCTTACCAGTGCCCTAAGTGCAGGAGGAGCTTTGCTCAGCAGTCGAGTCTGACCATTCATCTGAGGATCCACACGGGGGAGACCCCTTACCCCTGTCCTCAGTGTGGAAGGTGTTTCCGCCAGAGCTCAAACCTCCTGAAACACAAGAAGCTGCACGAAGGGGTGAGGCCTCACCTGTGCTCCGATTGCGGCAAATGCTTCGCTCAGCGCTCCAACCTGCTCACCCACCAGCGGATTCACACGGGGGAGATGCCCTTCCTCTGTTCTGAATGTGGGCAAGCCTTCCGGCAGCACCGCAGTCTTCTTAGCCACCAGAGGTGCCACAAGGGGAATGTGTCTAATGGGTACAATTGCCCCGAGTGTGGGAAAAACTTCATGCAGAACTCGGACCTGGTGAAACACCTGAGAGTCCACACGGGGGAGATGCCCTACACTTGCCTCTACTGCGGGAGGACCTTTCGATACGTCTCAAATCTCAATAGGCACAAACGAACCCACACGGGGGAAAAACCTCACGCTTGCCGCCAGTGTGGCGAATGCTTCAGCCATTTGTCCAGCCGGAATACGCACGAGAGAATTCACACGGGAGAAAAGCCATTTGGCTGTGCTGAATGTGGGAAGGCGTTCATTTCCAGTTCTAAGCTCGCTCAGCACCTGAGGTCCCATGCCAAGAAGGTATCCCACATCTGCAGTACATGTGGGAAAACCTTTTGCCGCTATCCAAGTCTCCTTAGACACCAGCAACTTCACAAAGCTTGGAGATTTCACTTGAGGAAAAAGGGGAACAAAGAGACAAACCAGATTTTGGTAGACTGAGCTCCACACGCTGAGTGTTCTATCAGGTAACTTTATATCTTAACCTGGGGAATTTTTCCCCCTACCTTGAGAAATGCAACCCAAGGAATATGATAAGGAATTTTAAAAAGAATTTCCAACACACTTTATATTCTCCAGGTTTCTTTGGAGAGTACTAAAGAAAAATTGGTGTCAAATCTGTATCCTCTTGTAATTTTGACTTGGATGGCAGCTGAGATACTAAGAATGTTAAGTATTAAACATAGAAGATATCCTCATTAGCAGTCTTTAACAAAAACAGTTCTGCTTGTATTAGTGTTGCCCTATCCTTGTTGCTAGTTATTTTCACTAGCTAACCAAACGGTTTTTCCTGCATGCCTATGCAGATTAATAATCTGGGGATTCTGACTGGCTGAAGAAGAGTGACACCTGTGTATTTCTTTTCTTGTCCTTCCACCTTTGAAGGCTCTCCTATGCCTCAACGTTGCTTGGTGTAGAATTTTCTAGTGATGATGTTGTCACCAATAAGGAGGAATAGGAAGCGTTCTGATGTTTTTACACTAACGTATTTCAAACACAAAAGTGATATTTTGCAGAATCCAGAAAAAATCAGATAAGGCCCTTTAAATTATTCACAGGGAAAAAGACAAGGAAAGTCTTAGGTGAGCAAGGATACACTTGGGGATGCAGTGATTTATTTATCTCTGCTGTATTATAGAATAAATAGTATGCTAGCTCAAGCTGAAGATTCATCTAGCCAGTTTTTATTTCCAAAATATCAGCTTGATACATCTGGGAAGTCGAACAACTGATGCATTCTTTTGCTTGTATTTTCCAAGATCTCAGATACAGGGGCATATACTGCCTATGATATTAAAGGTAATATACACAGAGCTTCTAATAGCTGGAAATTTGCCTAATTACTTTCAAAAGCGACCTATGTTGGCAATTGCAGTGTTAGAGCAGAATGAGGCTGCCTGGGAAGAAATTGTGCTAATGCCAGTGCCTTTGCTCGCCCTCTATTCCTACAAAATATCCTGGAATCCTCCTTTTGAATTTTTAAATGGTGACTTGACTACGGACAATTGCTCATCTCTAAGTGTTAGATCTTAATATTCTCCTGCAATAGATTATTGAGGCATAAGTGCGGGATTTGTCAAGTCCTGTTAAAAAAGTGTATATCTGAGCAACTACTGCAAACACTAAGGAGGAGGTCCTTAAAATGATTTAAAATGATGGAATGGGCAAGTTAGAACAGAGAAGAACACTGTGTAATATCCAGTGCTGTTTTTATTCTGCTCAGCCAAATGATTTCCTTGGACAAACAGGAATGGGATTTCTGAGGTTTTTTTTAAAAAAAATAAAAGAATCTAAGAAAAGGGTCAAGTGATAGAGCCCAATATGGCATTCAGATAGGTACACCCCACAATCTAGTTTTTTGTCATAGGGAGATAATGGTTGGTTTGTGCCATGATGGCGAACCTATGGCATGCGTGCCAGACATGCTGAGCACTCTCTGTGGGCACACATGCTGTTGCCAGTTGCTCTTCCGGTTTCAAGCGTGTGCATGCGCACTGGCCAACTGGTCTTTGTGCATGCCAGAGCACCGGAAACCTGAAGACTGGCCAGCCGATGTGCATGCTGGAAACCTGAAGACCAACTGGGTGCATGCGCACTGCCAGCTGGTCTTCAGGTTTCCGGCGCTCTGGCATGCACATGCGCGCATTCCGGTTTGGGCACTCGGTGCCGAAAAGGTTCGCCATCACTAGTCTAGTGGTTAAGGCTCCATGCTAGAAAGCAGGAGACTTGAGTTCAGGTCCTGCCTTAGCCATGAAAGCCAGGCGGATAACTTCGGGTCAGCCATATACTCTCAACCCAGCCCACCTCACAGGATTGTTGTGCGGAAAATAGGAGGAGGAAGGTGTATTGGATATGTTCACTGTCTTTAGTTATTTGTAAAAATAATAAAGTTGGATATAAATAAACATCTCAGTAGAAAAAATTAAAAAGATACAACAGCGGTATATAATTCTGGAACTCTTTATGTCTTTTTCAGCAGAAGAACCAAACTCTGAGGAAATATTTTGTGAAGACGTGCTGGATTCTGCAGGTTTTGTAGTCTGTTCCTCCCAACCATCGTCATCACTCTTGATAACTCTGTAAAATGAATACATGCCTCCAGGCAGGAATTTGGTGAGAACATTTGGGCAGCTATTGCAAATGGATCTAATTTACAGCAATCTCCCTCTTCAGAAGCAGCTTCTCAAGTTCTTGCCTGCAATGAGAAAGAAAGAGGGCTTCCCAAAAGAAAAACAAATCTCAGTTTGCATTGAAATTATCCTTCAATGCCCTTTAACCCTGAGCAGTGTTGTTAAACCCTTTAAATGCTGTGGTGGCTCAGAATGATATGATCAGTTAAGATGACATCAGATGAATGATGATGCCATGCCATATCCTAGCATTGACATTAATAGTTTGAGAAAAACCTGTTTTCCGTAATTGTATGAAGAAATTGTGCCTAGAGATATATATAAAAAGATTGCTGTAAATACATACATACATACATACATACATACATACATACATACATACATCAAACTTTTTGTCTTACAGAATGTATGAAGACACATGTTCAGAAATGTTTTGTTTGTAAGGTATAAAACTAAAATGCCTCATCAAGATAGTGCCTATTTGAATGTTGAGAAATGCTCATTTGTTATTCCCATGGCAAAAGGCACCAAAGAGATCTGGACTTCAGCTAAGATGAATATAATCATTAAGGAAAGGTTGAAATTGTTTGTCTAAATGACTAAAGCTTCTCTCAGAAGAGCTGAGGGAGAAACACAGTGCAACTCCAGGAAAGGAAGTTCTGCTTCTTTTGAAGAACTTCTATAAAACGTTGAATGTTTGCCAAATATATTTTATCTGTATGTTAGGATTATACTCTGCATTGCTTTAAAACAGGGGTGTCCAACCTTGGCAACTTTAAGACTTGTGGACTTCAACTCCCAGAGTTCCTCAGCCAGCTTTGCTGGCTGAG